AACTACTAGATAGTATCTGCTACAAATTCACACAACCGTGAGCTCCAGACATGCTTTCGTTCTTTTACAGTAGATGACGCCGTGAGAGCCCAAATCATCGAACCGGTCATGTTAGAGAAAGATTTTCTCTTGGAAAATCGGCCGACTTTGTCGCCCACTACGATATTGTTGGAGTACACCAAGTATAGTATCATGAGCTTTGGTGGAATTTTTGGAATCTTTTAAAATCTCCTGGAAAACCCAGTGAGGTTTCTAGAAAATCAGACCATGAAATTTTTCAATCGAATTTGGCATTTTCACATCAACCAATTTATAGAGCATATTAAGTTAGGAATCCCAGATCCAAAATACGAAAATCAGAAAATCACTAGGCCTTAGGGGAAAAATGAGCAGAAACGAGGCAGAAAAAGTTTCAGAAATCAGAATTTTTCTGCCAGAAGCAGAACATCTGGGATCCCTGCAATTTACACATGTCAAGCTATTTCGATAACTATTCGATTAATTTTGATGGAATCAGAACCTTTTAGTTCAAGTATTGCTTACATATATACGTAAGCATACATATATACGTACCTGATAATACTGAAAAATTTAAAACTTACTTAAAACTAATCGAATAGTTATAAAAATAGCTTGACATGTGTAACTACTATTTTGTAACTAAAATCCCAAATTCGAGATTTTAAAAGATTCCAAAAATTCCACCATAGCTCATGATACTATACTTGGTGTACTCCAACAATATCGTAGTGGGCGACAAAGTCGGCCGATTTTCCAAGAGAAAATCTTTCTCCAACATGACCGGTTCGATGATTTGGGCTCTCACGGCGTCATCTACTGTAAAAGAACGAAAGCATGTCTGGAGCTCACGGTTGTGTGAATTTGTAGCAGATACTATCTAGTAGTTACGATAGAATTCTTAAGTCTAAGTAATGTATCGTTATGGAGTTGTGCGTAGTTTACATTGACAGTTTTCTGAGATGCCGGAATTTGTGCGCTTTCGGGCTCTTGCAAAAATTGAATATCTCAGCAATGCAACAACTTTAGGATCTGCGGTTTTCGCCAAAATTCATGAAACTGTTTGCTCCAAAGAAACCCTTACTATGGAAGACATTGGAGTTGGTTGATTGAGCAGCATTATACGATAATAGGTCGTTGCTTATCTTTAATGGCTCTTATGCACAATGTTTTGAAATATCTATAAATGATGATTTAAGTATTCATGCACTATCTTGACTACCTCGTTTAATCGAAGGTAACCTTTCTCCTTGTGTTATGAGCATTTCGATATATCGTGTATATACCCATGTCTTCAATGTTGTTTAAAAATCGGTGATTATCGCGCTTTTCGAAAAGTTAATCGCAATATGTCGGGGGCTGTTTTGTATATTGCTATTTTACATTGATTATTTTGCAAGCCGCGATTTCTTAAAACACCACTGACTAATCGCGATTGGTTGCCATATTTTGATTTTCTAGTCATTCACCGTTTTATTTTGCAAACATGAATTTCGACGGTAATTGTCTCTTTTTTTCGGTTTAATCTTTTCTTTTAGATTAATGTTTTTGAGAGACGCGCCCAGAATGTTCTTCGTGATCTCCTCAGTGCTGACTCGTTGTTTCGACAAGGGTGGCTTTTGAATCGAAGGGCCCGATGAACAACTGTAGTTCTGGGCGGTGTCTCAAACCGATTAATGGGGACAAGAGGGTCCAAGTAGCCGGCACTCTCATAAGAAAGTTACTAAAATGCAAAACAATGAAAACAAGCAAAAAAAGAAATTTCTCATAGGTGGATTCGATCCTAGCATCTCCTTTCTATAAAAAAAAGTAACGTTCGACTGCGGCGGTCCGGGTGTACGGCGATGCTCTCACCGGTGCGTGTAGAAACAGCTCGTTGGTCGAACCGCGTAAAGTTTCACGGATAGCTACAATTGTTATGTTGTAGGTGAAAAAGGAGTGGTGGCGGTTGTTCGAATTAGAGATAAAATGAAGTAGTGTGTCAAATCAAATTAAATGAATTCTTTCTGCCTAAGCAATGTCTTAAAACAGAAAACTAAAAGAGCACCGCCGTTTTCCGCGCGATATGAATTTGAGAACATGAACCCAATTTAAATCTTTAAATCTGAATTAAAGTGCAAAACAATGAAAAAAAGAAAAAAAAATTTCTCATAGGCGAATTCGATCCTAGCATCTCCTTTCTATAAAAAAAATCGTACGATTAGTCGCGACTAATCGCTAAAAGTTGCTAAAAACTCGTAAAAATGTCGCCGACTAATCCCGACAAAGTATTGCAACAATCGAACACCAAGTCACGTAAAAGTCGCCGATTTTTAAGCGATTAATACCACATGTGTAGTTTAGGCGTTTATTAATGTATACGACATCTGTACATTGTATCTAGAGAATGTCATAAATGGTACTGTGAACATTTTTTCATCATGTAGCCTAGATGTTAACAAATCGTATGAGGAGAAAAAGAGATGATGAAAATATATGACTTTTCAGAGAAAATCCTATAGAGACTCATCGGATTTACTTTGAATAAACTACCATCCGATCTTTAATCGGAATTTCGATGGGATAAGATATAGCCATGTAGTTGTTGTTTTATTAGTAAAATGGTCAAAAAATAAACGTTAAATGCAATGAAATATGAAATTTACAATGAAAATATGAACAAAATTCACCTGATAAATCGGAAATACAATTGTAAAAAGCAAAATTGTAAATATAGGAAAACAATACATATTTCACCTTAAATTTTCTCTTTTTGTAGAAATATTAGCGCTTCGTTAATCTTTATCACCGAGTTTGAAATGTTCAAATTGTAAACGATCAATCACGATGAGTCTCTATAGGATTTGTCATTAAAGTAAATTTTTGTTTTTTTAAGTCGAATCAGTTCGCCGTTTTGCCCCTATAAACGTACGTGTATAGACGTTACTAAGAATACTTTTGTCGAAAAAAAGAGAGTTTACTTTGCATGCATCACAAACTCCTACTACTAATGACACATTTAGAAGCTTTTTTTTTCTTTAATATGGTTTATAGTCAACAGGGATATTATTTGTAATTCTATCAAACTACTATAGTTAGAAAATAGCATTAAGGATAAACAAAAAATGATAGATAAATATATATAGATATATAGATATCTAATGCAACTATGATATCATCATTTTACATCTTCTTTTAAGATTGTCAAATAATAACATCAAGATCAAACTACTCTATTTTCTACTACTATTTCTACTTTATAAATTATATTTATATACAAACGATGAATAGAAATTAAGATATATCATAATTAATTTACCGCCCGAAATGACTCTTCCAGCCATATGTAATACCGGGACTTTTGTCCAAGCTGTATCGGCTGAAATAATTAGTTAGATTAAAATATAATAATCATAAAATGACAATATTGTATAAAATCTCAGTCTTTCTACATCAACACTAAATATTATGTTATTGTTCGACAATAACTCTTTGTTGGCAATACAATATTGTTAAAAATATCTATAAAAATGTAAAAATCTACTTACAATTATCAATTTTTAATGTAAGTTCCATTGTTTCAATAATATTATCAATACTTGTTGCTTCACAACAATATAGACCAGCATCACTATATAATACTGTTCGTAAATAAAACGTACATTGACCTGTTTGTGGATTATAACGATGCCATAGACGAACACCACGTGTTTCTACTGGATCACCTTTTGCATACCAGTGAACAGTTTTAACACGTCCAACGCGTACATAACATTCAATCAACACATTATCACCAGGTTTACATATATAAACATCAGATAAACGACTTAAAAATAATTCACCAGCATTTCCACTTGATAAACGAATCTTTTTCGACAATGTTTCATGTTCATCCATCATTCTATCGATCTGTAAAAGAATAATAATAATAATACTTCGTCATAAATCCCGTCAGTTAATAAAATGTCTGTTTATATGTATATATGAACATGATATCTACTATGTATGTGGGAGTTCTTTATTTATTACACAAAAAAAAGAATGTCATAAATATGAAAAAGAGAATACACAAGTGTTACAACCCAGATCTAGCAAAGAAGAAGAAAAAAAGTGACTATATAATACGTTATGAAATGGATCATTATGGATAGATGTGAATATTAGATGAAAAATGGATGAAAAGATTTTGTATAACAAACACAATATATATATATATATATAAATATATAAATAGATAGAGATATATATTCCCTAATCACCAATATGAAAAAAAACGTGTTTGTAATTTATCGAAAGAAAAAGAAGATATAAATCGTCAATTTAAGAAAAATATTTATGTTTTTCTGATATTTTCGCATCCAAAACGAAATCTTTCTATTGTAAAATATTCGTATTAAAACATATTGTATAATTAGAGTAAATTTAAATGAAATTGAGATGTATATAGTTATACTTACTTATTCAAAAAATACCAGGATACTTTAAACTCCATTCTCTACTAGTTTAGACTAACAATATCTAAATAAATGATTTATTCAATATATATGACCTTTCTTGATAAATTTTACGCTTATTGCTTGTCGAGGTTATTATAAGTACCATCATGTTAATGATAGAGAGTTATAACTATAACATCAATAATGTCATTATTGCCTATCGATTAGTATTTGAGTTATTCAAGCTTGCAAATGGATATATCAGAATTTTTAGTTTGTAAGATAATATTGAGACGATAAATGTCAAAATAAACTGGTTTTTTATGTCTACAACGACGTCATTAATGGAAAAACATGAGTTCATCCACGGTAAATCTTCGGAAAATATAATATTATCTAATTACAGATAGAGTCAATGATATTTTCCAAATGGTTATCTATTGTTTCAAATTTTTTAATTTTATCCCTATTATTAATCATTACTACATAGTAAATACTTACAAAATGTGAGTTGTTTGTCAAATTATGAAAAAGATGGGCATATGCACTCACACACACACATACACAAACAAATGTTGTTAGAGTTCTTCTATCCTTGAGTAAAATGTGTATGGTATCTAACCATTTTCCTTAGAAAAAAAAATAATCATTGTTATCGATATATTTTTTTTTTCTTTCTCACTATATGACATTAAGAAATCAGTATCAATCTTTAGACATAATATCAAACGGCAGGTGATTTGTTTTGTTGACCAGAAAATGTCGTCTTCGTCGATAAATATGCGTGTGTACGTCGCTTTAAGTGAAAATAATGAGAATACAACATCGAGAATGTGTATATATGTATGAGATAAATAAATATAAATTACATATTGCATGTGTAAAATAGATTATTCCCCGTCTCATATCTTTAACACGTCTTTACAACTCAGAAAAAGTATCTAGCCATTTGATGAATGAGAAATTAGAACTATTGCAGAGAGATCTAATATTCAAAAGATGTTACTGTTTACAGGACAATTTATGAATATACATTCTATTTTGAAAATATTCTGTTATTTTGGTTTGATATATAAATGAGAGTGAACACAAACTGAAATTGTTAACTTTTAAACAATTTATGTCATAGTCACTATTACTTATCGTTATTAAATAACGGGAACGGTAATCAAATGAGTAAAAAAGTTATAAGTTGCAAAAAATAACTATAAATATCGAATGATTGGTTATCAAGTCACCAAGGATGTTACCATTACTTTCAATTACTTATGAGTGATCTTTAAAAGTAGCGCAAACTCGAAAAATAAGTTAGAAGATACACAAGAATAACTTCGACAAGAACTAAAGTAAAGATAATTAATTACATATTAATTTCTTTTGCAACTGGTGACTCTGTAGTTATCGTTAGAAGAATAAATGTAACTCGCGTATTACTAGGTACGTCTGATCTAGCGTTAACCTAACACTTTTAACTCAGAGATGAACCCAGGTGTTCAGTAGAATGCGAATACTATGAAAAACGAGTTTTACTATAGATATTTCAAACATGTATTTATCGTTAGTAGACATATAACTATTTTTTGTGTGATTACAGCTTTATAGTAGATATATTTTTACACATTTTCTTTTCTTAAAAAAATTGAATAATAGAATAATAACCACACACTACTGATGAGTACTGACTACAAATATTTTACTTCGCATAAGTTAGCTGTTAGTGAATTAAAACATTGGCTAAATTATTACCATTATAGCATAGAAGAATATAATATTCATTTTAAAAGCATCAACAACAATCACTATTATTTAGATTCAGTACATGACTCTTACTTTTCACCAAATCAACCAAATTTTTCATATAATTGCAAGTATCACTAGCGATAACAATAATCAAACTCGTATTATCATATCAATATACTTTTTAGCTTTGCCAGCCATGCTTGGGTTTCGACTCTTTTATTCCATTAATCAGAGGAGGATGGTCTGGTCTATTTTTCAAAATTAGCTATAGAAAAACAGCACAATGAAACAAACAGTGACTTTTGGTTTTTAAACTCAACTTTGTTTGCACTGAATAAATTCTATTGATCAAAATGTTATCGTAAGGTGTTAGACTTTTTTTCTTTCATTTGCTCGTTCAACTAGAATTCTATCCATAGTCTGAGCATGACGATGAACATCTGAGAAATACAAAAAAAATTTGGTATGATTTTTTTTTCTACCAGCACACTCTTTATTTTCCTTGGAAGGACGCTCACATAGGCAAAAAAAAAAAGATGCAGTTTTTCAAATCAGTTAACATCACTATCTGTGCAATAATCTCATATTTACCACTTTTTAACCATTTACTGTAGATCACTAAAATGCTAGCAGCGTTACGACTATTTGTGTTAGTTAAAATAGGAAAAGTTTAGTTTTACTTACGTGGGAACCTTCTCAAGTATCCAGTCACCTTTTCCTTAAAACATACACGATTATGGGTAATCTTTGATGCTGATCATGAATCTGACATCAGTTTCTACTGCTAGGCCTTTCTGGGATGGGTCTCTGAAATCTGGATATCCAAACACCCACTATGAACTTTCAGCTGAACATATTTTGGCACTATCAGATTGTAGACATTGAATTACCTATGGGGGGAAAATGTTCAGAGCCAATGAACAGGTTTTCGCAGAGATAGTAAAATCTTCAGGGTTCAAGAACCTGAAATAGTTTGGTTTCTTACTAGATTAGAAAGTGAAATTTTTCTATCTCTGCGAAAACCTGGTCGTTGGCTCTGAACATTTTCCCCCAAAGGTACCGCAACGTCTACGATCTGACAGTGCCAAAATATGTTCAGCTGAAAGTTCATAGAGAGTCTTCGGGCACTGGGATTTCAGAGACTCATCCCATAAAGGTATAGCAGCAGAAACGGATATCAGATTCATGATCAGCATCAAAGATTACCCGTAATCATGTATGTTTTAAGAAAAAAGCGACTAGACACTTGGGAGGGTTCACAAACGTTTGTGATTTTCTTTTTCGATATTCTATCTCTGGTATAAACTTCACCTCGATCAAACATCGGCTTCCCAGGCTTTCAAGAGGATCAAAAAAGAGCGGGGGGAGGGGGGGGTACCCTTAATATAGATAGAATCAAAATGAAGTGTTAACATACTCCTATTTCGACAACAACTTTGGACATTTGTGATCTAACAGACGTTATTTATTTATCGGATATAATTTCAAAGACCACGTTTTGTAGCAAACCTTTATAAACTGGGTATAACTCAGAATTAAACGGGGCATGCATGGTTAGACTGTGTCAGACATAAAAACTCGAATGATATGTTGTCGACGACTATTCTTGATACGCACACTTCGACCGATTCTATCAGATATTATTCGATGTTTCTCTCTAATAAAAAATATGACTATTTATAGAATCTGGTAATATTGGTAAATTTGATCTTGACTTGTAAACAATGACTACTTGTTCGTTTACATATTTGTCTGACGAATGACAAAAATTTCATTCAATCATTTTATAGCCGTCGTGAATTTTTATGTACTGACAAATTTGAAAATATCACAATTTTTCTCTGCTAACTTCAACCTGGCGAAAATAGATTAAGACATATCTGTGTATATTTTCATTTCTATTGTTATAAAGTTCAACAATAAAATAATAGCGATCTAAAAGCGGTCGGTGTCTACTTACGGACAAAAACTATGGCATTAAAGCAGACTTGGAACACAAAAAACAAATAGATAGATCTTTTTATTCTTACTGAACAAAAAATATTTTTAGCAGTAGATGTAATTACATCAACATATCTTTTCTCCATATCTGTCAAATCAGAAAAGAGCTAACTATTCGACATCCATATTTTCCCATGATTTAAATTCGAAAAGTAATATTGAAAACATAGCTCTTAGTATCGCCAGATAGTAGAAATTATCTACTCCAACTATTCTGCTGTCTTGAATATGCATTCATTATTTACAATAGTTCTTTTATTTCGAAACTCCAGATTAGTCGATTCGTTTTTATATAATCTAAAAGTTGGTAGAAAAACAAAGAAATTTCATGGATCACTTAACGTCAAAACAGATGGTGAACACAACCTACTGTTGGAAAATAGAGTATTGTTTGCTGTTTCTGTGAATGTACGTTTAACTAAACTATTATGAATACGGAATATAGAGTAGCTGATTTTCTTTTATTTGTTTGTTTATTATTTTGTTATTTACTCATTTATGTACTTGTCTTGTGTTCTTCTTTTCCCTTGCTCCAAATACTTTGACAATAAATGTTAGAGGTAATACTTTTCTTTATGTTGTGTGTAAGAGTGGGATTATTATTTTTATCAAAAAGCTTGTCATTGTATATGTTTATCTTTGATAAAAAAACAAATGAAATGAATGATAAGAATGTACTGATTATACTACGTCCAATAAATGCTATTATTTGTTGGATTGATGGTACTAGTGGACTTTTTTTCTTTTGAATTGTTAAATAAATAAAAGAGTAACACAAGAATAATTAAAATAGAAATAATGGTCCAACTGGTTAAATAAACAGTTTTTTGACCAAGTTCGCTTGTTCCTGTTTTCTCAATTGTTTTATTCGATGATGGTGCTAATTGTTTTTCATTCTCATCTTCGTATGATGATGATGCGGTGATTGTATCGTAAATGAACACTACACCATCTAAATTGAAACAAAAAAATTTAACACTAAGACACGTAATAAATAATTGAATTATCTTAAACTTGTTAAATTTGATGAAAATAATGTTGGTTCATCACTAAGGGAACGAAATTCCTTTTTGGTCTTAGTACCTGAATGGACATTTTCCAAAAGACACCTCAAAATAGTTGAGAAAACTGACCGAGTGAAGTTCTGAATTTCTTCTAAATTCTTTTATTTCGTCTCGAAAAACTCGCCTAAGGTGATTAAACTCAAAACAGACTTTGCCTCAAGAAATGTGAAGTGACAGTGCTAGAATGAATGATATAAGTTGCCATCACGGTTGGAAAGTTCGTTTTTTTCAAGTTTTTAAGCTAGGCCGTGTTAACACTTTTTTGAGCGTGAGTGAGTTGAGTTCGAGCTAGAAAACCTTTGAGTTGGCCATCTACGCTTATCAAAGATGTAAAATTGGTTTTAACTGATTTAACTAATTGTATGAATCTATAACCACTAAATCCTCATAGGTCAACTATTATGTGTGATTTTTTTTTCAAAGCGGATTTGGGTTCAAGATGTGCAACTTATCATAACTCCATCTTACTCTGCAGCGAAGGAAAGGATGAAGATATACAAAGTCTTATAAAAATAGAGAAATACTCAACATCCTTCTACTTTCAGTTCACTAAAGTAAAATTTCAGTCATAACAGATGAGTTTTTATAAAAGTTTTGAATGTATTCCGCTACATTTTGTTGAATTTCTAAGTATGGACATGTTTGAGCCTCAAAGGTTATCTATAGGATTTCATGAGAAGTACCAGGACAACATAAAATATGACGTTTACTTAATGAATGCACTTTTCACCATTGCCTGCTCCAGTACTCTTGCAAGGTTTGTCCAACGTTACTGCGCTTTTTCGCAAGGAAATTAAATATCTAGCAAATACTTTTAAGTATTTAGACAAATAATTACCAAAGTAATATTTTACGAAAACTCTTGCCAAATATCTACAAAAAATAGCTAGTCAACAAGTATGGGCTCATGCGTATATTCACTGGGATAGATCTTCGGTCATAATGATATTGATTAAATTTTGGCATCCTCTGATCCATTTACGTTAGATCAACGTGGAAGCTTAAATCTCTACTCTGATGCCATAATCTTGGCTCTCATTAAGAATTAAAGGCACTATTCCATTTCCACACAAAAGACTAGTTTAAAGATTGCCCTGTTACTTACTTGTCAATGTGCTACTCATAACCGTTGATATTTTATCAGTGTCAGTTATATTTTCTATTTTTGAACAATTTGTCGATGGTAGTTGCGTGCTTATATTATTATTGTAGTAAAAATCAACAAAATTCATAAATTTATTTAGTCGATGATTATTTTCTGTCATCTCTATTTGATATGAACCACAGTGTCCGTAATTCACGATAATCTCGTCAAATTGAAAATAATTATTTTGTAGATTAAGATGTCCGGTCAACAAAATAATTTTTAATATTTTCCCAACCTGTACTGAAAATAGTTGATCGCCAACATTCATCTGAGAATTATTGTAAGATGCAATGATGATAGTATTATAAACTATAACATGAACATATAGGTACGATGTAAAAGACAACGTCCATATCGATACACATGAGAAGCTTACTTTACCTAGATTTTTATTTTCCCAGATAAATTGATCACTCGACAATAATTGATGTGTTACCGGACAAAATATACTTGCTTGACTCACATGATAACATTTATTACGTTGACCAATACACGGGTAATCCTTTCCACATGTCAAATAGCCATCATGTGATGAACAGCTGAAATCTCTTTGTGTGTGAAATGTCTTTTCAACAAATGTATATTTCATACAAGATGATAAATCATCATCCGTCTGTGTTATTTGTAGAGGATCATAAATAATTTCAATTTGTAGAGACTGACATTGAAAACAATATTGAATAAACTTTGGTGATACTACAATGTCTAAATGGGAAAAAATACAGTTATTCACACAATAGTCGCTTGAAACATCAAAAATAGTATCTACTCTAAAAAAATGATATGCTTCCGGTTTTTCATTTCTCCCATATAGAGAGAACTCAAATTCTTTTCTTCAGCTCTCAAGAACTCACATGAGAAGAAGACTGATTTGTTTCGATCTTTGGCAAATGAAAAACTGAGAGCTGAAGAGAAGACTTTAAGTTCTCTCTATTTAGGACAAATAAAAATAAAATGCCCATTGGTTTTTCGGTTCTTTGAAAAAAACCGAAGAACATCTTTCTTTTTAGAGTCGTATAGTATACCTATTGATTTTAGTGGGAGATCAATATAGATCTTCAATTGTGGTTCAAATATCATGTATTTTGAAAATGCTTGATAAAAATTAAAATTAATATCTAATCGATCACTATTAACTGATTTAACTTCGATCAAATACTTTTGTCCTTTACACAAAATTTGATTTAAATATTCTGGAAAATATATTAACTCAATTGTTGAACATTGTAATACAATTGGTTTAGAATTGCTACACGAAGTTTGACATTGTTCTTTATTACGATATTCTCTGATTTTCAAATCAATTTGACACACAATTACCGGTATACCAAATACTTTATTATCGTCAACTTCACTACACCATGTAGAATACGGTGGCCAACGGCAAATGTCATAGCAAAATATTATAGAGAAAAAACAGTGTAAGTAAAATAATTTTAACATTAGTTTATTTATACTTTAAAACGTGACATTTAACAGCAGATTAGAAATTATCACAGGCATTAACTGGGCTTCTACGTCTAATATTTATCATATGCGTTGAACTTAAAATTATTTTGTTTATTACAATTCAAGATAGAGAAAAATCGAGTAGTTTTTCGTTCTTTCTGACATTGTGCCATTAATCAACGATAAACAGATAAGATAGGCTTCTCTTGTGCCTGATAATTTATTTTTCAGTTTTTGTGATATATTGTAGATGGTACCAATCAATTTAGCTTCAAAACTCAGAAATATTTTCCGTTGATTATACATGTATGTAGAGTGCAGATAACTTGGGCTCTATTTTCAGATTCTGACTTAGTATGGACTAAAAGTTTTGGCTAAAGTTATGCACTTTTAAAGTTCTGTGAAAATAGAAAAATACGGATATTATTTGACCTGAGCAGGTTTTGCGATTTTCTTTCGAAAAGTAACATTGTCACGATCTCCAGTGTAACCTATGTTTATGTTTATTTCTCACGTTTTCTAATCAAGAGTTCGAGAGTTCCGGAGTTTTTCTGTGACACTTGATCCATGATAGATGGTGGTTTAGCATAGAAACGATTCTGGTGATTTAAATCAACCAAAAGGTTTTAATCCTAGCAGAAGCGCGTGAGTGCTGGACAGGTTCAACAAATGTCTCATATGCATACTCAAGTGAAAGAATCCTATAATAGGATCATATAGGATTCTGTCAGATCTTAAGTACAATTCTGCAGGTTCATGTATGATTCTGTAGAAAATAGTAGGATCTCATCGGAGTTTTGATTAAATCAGTGTCCAATATTTTATTTATCCTTTTTCTTTTACTATAACCTACTGCTGCATACATGTGGAGAATAATTTTCCTCCTATTATTTTTCGTTTTTCTTCCATAGTATCAGATGAGTAGTGTCAAGGCTCGTCCTCATTGTCTATTGCCTATAGACGGGTATAATTCTCTAAGTCCATCATGGCTATAGAAAAAGAATGGATCTCATAGGATCCTAGATCAGTATTGTTGCATTTTCCTATGTTTCGTAGGATCCTATAAGAATCTTACAGGATCTTGACAAGATTGTTTGGCCTGAATAGTTTACTTAATTGTAATGCAGATATAGGCATTGTATACACTAGAACAAAAGCAAAATGATCTAATGTCATAGTTATGTATTTAAACCTAATCCGTTGCGGAAATTACTAACTGAACAATAATTATTGTTTAGTTTATGAACACACTAAAAATATAACGAAGACTTCATCTAGAATTTCTCGATGCAAATGAAAATTTTGAACTTTTTTATTTTCAATTTCCAGATCCATTTTTCCGGTTGCACAAAATAAACACGAATTTGCATCTTCGTCAATACCAAACGCATTCCTCTGTCACCCTACTATTAGATTTTTCTTTTATTGTCGCATCTAAAGCACAGCCTGAGTTCTTCTAAAATCCCAACTAGCCTTTAGTCCTCTAAGTTTTCTTACACAATAGTTTTTCTTTATATTCATCCCTGAATGTTCATTAAATAATTGTAATTTAGACAAATCAGAAAATTAACTAAATTGGCATAACTTTAACTAGTGTGAGGGTACGGATTATTCAAATGAAGGAGTATATAAAAGATCCTTCATCACTGTACAATATTAGCAGGAAAAACGTTAAACAGTACAGTGAAAATGTAACATTGCAGAACACGATGTCACGTTTCCATCTCGATCAAAGTCATTGCACATGTGCAATGACTTTGCATTTACCGCTGCATTTACCGCTGATTGCTTTACTTGAGAAATCAGACGTTATAGTGAACTGGAAATGTGTGACATCATAGAGTCACAAAAAACCGGTAACAATTAGAAATACTGGTTCACATAACGAACTTTTTTCAGTGATGCAACGAAAAGATGTGACTTCCCAAAAGACCACATGTTTTCTGGGTCAAAACCAGGCATCCGTAAATTTTATCCATAAATCTCTACTATCGCTGTAAAATTTCCAAATTTCACGTTGATAGTAGAGATTTATGAATGAAATTTATGGATGCGTAATTCTGACCTGTTTTCTGTTACTTTTTTTTACCGTGATATTTCTTTTTCTTTCTTGTTCTTTTTTTACCTTTCTGCGCACAGCCGAGATTGGTCAATCTATCACCACAATCAGATCACTTGTAGAGCTCCTCTTGCTTTCACTTAATCCAAGACTAGCAGTTAACTCTATAGTGGCAAAAGCATCATTCTGTATTGGCTTATTCTCATAGAAGCATCTTCCATCCGAATATCACGCTCACTTTGAAGTAATCTACATTGTATTGTGTTCTGTGATAATTTTACATGTTTATTTAGATTCTATGATATAGTACATCACCTATAAAAATCCGTTTGTACTCTGTGAAAAAGCGGTGTAAAGTATGCACACTAGAGGAGAATTTGACGTAGTTTCTTAGTCAGTGTGGTTCAATTTTAAACTAAACTAAAGATTCCTTCAGTACGTGAGCGAATAACCTCCCGAGACAGCAATGTATAGACTTTTTTCTCGCTCACTACATACGTGGGAGTTGTACCAATTATTCATGAAAAGAATTCTCCGATAACATAGTTTTTTCTAAATAGGTTTGATGTTGATCATAAATATCATATCCGTTGCTGTTGCTAGGTCTACCAAGATAAGATATGGGGCTATCGAGATCCTTCCAGGACTTTCATTTGAAAAGATTCTGATTCCGTGCAGCTTATCGAAGGGATTAAATCACATGTGTGAAAACGTTTTCAGATTGAACGAGCAAGTTTTCGCAGAGATATAAGGTATTGAATGATGAATTGAATGGTCACTGAATTGAAAAAATAAAAATGCCGTGCCTTTAGTTTGAAAATTTTCACACAAGTGATAAGATAACTCAGGCCAAAACTATGTTTTATTGAAAAGACGATTTATTTCCTAGTCAGTTAAAAGCTTCTCTTTAAATTATTCTAGATTTGAAACTATGCAATGAAATGATAACAGGAATTCTGTTTTATGTTAAATATTGATACGATCATCATTATTTTTAAAAATACAAGGTACGTATACAAGGGTTGTTGTAGCACACTGCAAGTGGCATTCTTTTACCTTAAAAACTCCTGTCAGAAGAATCGATTTTTGTTAGTAATATCGAGTAAACTAGAATATGTACTTTCTGAATCTGTATTGGTTTATGCCCTAGAAGTGTTCTTAATGGTTTTAAGCAATTTTTCTAGAAGTCTTAAAAGACAGAATTTTCAAATATATTTCCTGGATATTTACGCAAATAAATTTTTTCTGAGAGCAAACGTTTTCTCATCAAAATAAAATGTTGCACAATTCTGCGTGATCTCGAGTTTAGAAGTCATAACAGGTAGTCTACCAGCCCTACAATATACCAACCAATTTCTGCCAATACCAAGTTTTCTCTTTGCCGATCTTCCCCAAAAATTCTTATTTATTTTAGGCGCTATAGCGCTCATAATATAGTTTTATTGTATCGAGAAGTGCTGCCACTTTGATGGTAGAACGTCAGATTTTGAGGTTCATTTTGAAAGGTAACGAAAACTATGGATATCTAAAGCAGGAATCCCAGATCTAAAAGACAGAAATCAGAAAAAACAGTTATTTCTTCTCATACCCATTTTTTGTTTAGAGAAAAAAATTATAAATCAAAGTTTCGTTCAATATCAAACAAAGATTCTAAAATCAGAAAATCAGACGATCTGGGATTCCTGATCTAAAGCATCCGGTAGTTTTTTAAAATCTGAAATCTAAATCCAATTCCAAATTTTCATCGATATACTTTGACATGATCAATATAGATCAAGATCGCACTTATACTTACCAAAATAGATTTCTAATACGAATCCATATAAAGCACATCTGAAAAGATTCGTTATGTTATGTGGTGTATGTTCTTTCTTGATTGACAGACTATTTTTATTATATGGATAGACTTAATGAGAATGCAGAAATCATGAGTAACTCGGCTAGATAAATAAAAATAAGCCAACATTCTATTGTGCAATTTAAATGCTGTCGTTTTTAGTACAAAACAAGCGGTTTTTTTCGTTTTTTTTCGTATAAAAAATCCTGATCCTCAAAGAAAGATTACATTACTCTTAACTAGACGGTTTTCGGGCACTTGTAACCATCTGGTACTAAAAATATCATCATTCCATCAGCCAAGCAATGGAAGGAACATACATCCAAAAGATGAATTATGCTTCTTTATCACCTTGACTTACGTGTTTGAAGATTCCGTGTGAACATTACAGTTGTTCAGTTACTGAAAATAACAACGATAGAAAAGTTGATTCATTCTATAATAACAAGAATCTATTTTTTGAATTGTGATTTTATTTCATACAATCTCCTTTAATCTATTTGAAAGCGATGGTAAATCGAAATTTCATGAAAAAGAGTGTGATTTTCTGAAATAGTGACTATATGTTAAGAAATAATAATCAAAACTTGTCATGGTTTTTTGCGATAAGTAAAACGAAAAATAGTTTAAAACAAATATTCTGTATTTATTTTTCATCAGTATCACTTTGATATAAAAAGAAAAATCGAAAAGATCTACACTATATTTTTATGTCAGATGTATTTGTTTTCGCTTTTTCCGTCCATATAAATTAAAACAACAGCAGTAAAAAAATATATAATGAATTTTCGTTTTTTTTAATTATCTTGACGACCAAATAATGGTGTAGTGCATAAAATCTAGAATCTATTTAGATCACGTGCTCTCTTATAAGTAAAAAGAAAAATAGTTGACTGAAAAGAAAGAGATAATGAATATATATATATATACGGCCATGTATGTTGATGCAATAATGAGATTATTTAGTTAGATCCCTATGATACACAAGACATTAATTACACTATTCTTGCTTCGTATTCGTATATTTTAACAACAAACGTTTTTTTATTCAACCTTTACCATTTTCACAAGCCATTTGCTATTACCCGTGACTATCGGGTAAGTCAGTTATTAAACGTCATTTTGGATGAGTGGCGCGATGCTACATATAACTTTAAGAAAGAATGATGAAAGATAATGGATACGAATAATTGTTTTTGAATGCGCCAATGTTTTCTGATAATTTACTACTTTTAAGATAGTCTTTTCAAAATATCTGAGATTTGATTGACTGGCGCCGACGTAAAGTATCAAAGGCGCGGAGAGAGAACGAGATAGTTTTTTTTATTTTTATCTATGACAATTTTTCTAGAGAGAAATATCTTTAGAGATGAGAAAAAACCAAGTGAGACAATAAAGTAGATAGCCAATTGAACTAATCATCCATCATTTTAGAATTAGAAGACATTCTCTTTCTGTTTTTATGAATGATCGAGAAAAATAAATGCTAAAAAATGCTAATTTTGTCACTCTTCAGTTTTCTCAATAACACTCAACACTAAGAACTCTGAATTTTTTAATTTTTATATCAATATTTTCATTTTAGGCGTGTATTATTGTAGTTCTACATCATGTTAGCCAGTCCAAGTCTTCACAGCTCCTATTTGGATGAGTCCTCTTCTTCCTCTAGTCGTCATCAACGTCATAGCAGTCGAACTGCCAATTCAACGTCCTCATCTACTTCATCTCGTCGAAAACTTCGTAGTACCATGATAGCAACAGACATAAATTCAGGTATTGAACAATCTCGAAGTTTCTTAACTGGTACAAATTATCAACAACATCAACAAATATTTGATGAGTCATTTACATCGATAAAACCTACGTCAGTTCAATCGGATCAAGAAGAAGATGGTGATAATACTTTGTTATCACATCGACATCATTTACGTAGACAATCAACTCAACGTCAGTTAGTTAAAAATCAACCAAAATCTGTTACAATGAGAAAACGTCGAGTTAAAAGATTAACTATAGAAGAAGACAATCAATCACATGCAGCAGCAGTAGCAGCGAACAAAAAACAATCTGAACAAAATATTCAACAAGATTTCGGTAATCTAAAGTGTAGAGAAAGTTGTCACTAAAATTTTTATCATTTGTCGAGCGAGATTTTAAATGATACGACTATTCTCATACGATGCATGTTATTTTAGGTAAACTCGATTCTTTAAAGCTTAATATTGTGCCGGCCAAATCTCAATCATCTGGCAACAATAATTTGTTAAATGATACTTTACCTACAAATTTTGATGATATCTCTGTGTTACACACTGCTCAAATTAAACAAGAACAACATCAACCGGCTCAACTTCCACTATCTTCAGCCTCTGCTCTATTCGAATCTATCTTAGATCAACAACACCAATATAATCAAACATTGTATCATTCTCATCAATGGTTGATGGTTATCATCCATTACAATCATCAATGTCAAATACAAATAATCAAATGTCATTGGGTGGAATTGGAGATGACGATGGTCATAGTCCACAATCACAAACATCATTACAACATTTATCATCAAAAGCACAATCGAGAAAAGATAAATCATTAGGATTACTTTGTCAAAGGTAGAATATTAATTTTATCTATTGGAAAAGTATAAAGAATGTTGTGTTTGTTTTTCTATTTTTTTATTTCCACTAGATTTATATCTATGTATCCAAGCACTGTACATCCGGGAGAAATTATCGTCATTTGTTTAGATAAAATGGCGAGAGTATTAGGTTAGTATAAAGTCATTGTTTATATCAAACAAAAAATATCTTATGAAAGTCTATCTTTGTAGAAACAAAACGTCGTCGAATTTACGATATTGTCAATGTTCTTGAAAGTGTTGAAACAATGAGTCGTATTGCTAAAAATCAATATCAATGGCATGGATTAGGAAACTTACAACATACACTTTCAAAATTAAAGGTATATATTAATTAGAGCTGTGACAGTTATCGTTATCATCGTTACTCGGTAAGGGTAACTGCTGAACAGTTACTGTAACGCTAACGGTAACTGTCTTAGTCCTAATATTAATCTTAAGACGAATTTTTTTATATATAATATTTTCTTATTTATTTTAGACATTAGCCTATAAAAGTGGTTTTGTTGAATTTGCCCGTTCAATACGAGAACAAATTGATCAAATGGTACTATCGGGAGAATTGAATACAGGTGCGAATGAATTCACTGCTTATGAGGAAAGTTCACTAGCTTTCCAAACAAAAATTAGTGGATACTAGGTTATCGACCATGCTGATTCCGAATATGGCCATGAGAGCTGCCCTTAGGTCTTCGAAAATCGTTTTCCAAGCTAAAAACTTTTTTTCTGATCTCTCCGGACTGTAGTGTGTGTGAGGTTGTCTATAAAACACTAACTTTTGTCATTTCAGATCGATTTTAAGCGCGGTTATAGGGGCTTGAAGTTGAAAAGAAATCACAATTATGACTATATCTCCTTCAAGAATCGATCTGAAATGACAAAAAATTAGTGTTTTATAGACAACTCGACACGTTATACAGTTTGAACAGATCAGGAAAAAAATTTAGCGAAAAAAGGTTTTTCTTCTGAAAAACCGGTTTTCGAAGATCTAAGGGCAGCTCTCATGATCATATTCGGAATCAGCATGGTCGATAATCTAGTATCCACTAGTTTTCGTTCGGAAAGCGAATGAACAGTTGGAGAACTTCCCTTATTCGATGAATTAACGCTATGTTGAATATAATGTTTGTTTTTTGGTTAGGTCAAGGTACTCAAAATGATGCATTGAAATGTATTCAAATTGTATCCACTGGAAAAAATATGACATCAATTGAAAGTGATGAAGGTAGACTGAATATTTTTATTTATTTCTATCAAATATTATTTTTTTTTCAAAAAATCCAATTTTTGTAATTCTGAAGTATATGCGATATAGAATAATTTGTCTTGTCTCTCTTTCAATTTATTTCATTACAGTTGCTCGGGAAGAGAAAGCACTTGGAATTATGGCACAAAAATTTCTTATGTTATTTCTAACATCAGACGTACGTATTTTGTTGTTTGTTTTTTCTTTTACTCATTAAATCCTATATAAATATATAAACTTACATCGGTTTGTGTATAGGATAAAATTGTTAATATAATATTTGCGGCAAAAGTATTATTGGGTGATTCAAAAAATGAAATCACTGAATTTGGACGCTATAAGAGTAAGATCATAGGGGACAGTGAGACGAAATGCGTAGCATGAGATAATAAAATAAAATAAATGAATTAGTAAATTATTCAAAAATTATTGCTCTACGCTAATTTTTAATTTAACATCATTTTCTTTTTTATTGTTTTTATTTTATCGCATGCATAATTTTTGGAGTTATTTTTGCTCAGTTTTTATTTCGATTTTGAATGACAGACGACGATAGTTGTGTGCTCATAATATGCCAGATATTACTGAAATTAGATTATTTTTATTTATAAGATATCTCTGGCGTTCTCTTCTGTTGTTTCATGATGGTTATCGAAAATTGTTGAAATAAAATCGGCAAAAATTGTAGAAAAATTCGGTGCCAGTTGTATAAGACTTTATAATGATCAGATTTTTTTGTTTATATATAATATGGCAAGGCAAATAGTTTCAGGCTCATTAGGATCACTTTATATCCCAGTTTTTGACCATCTATAGAACGGTTTCACGAATTAGTTATTGTAGAAGAGATGATTCGTCTGAATACAATAGATACTTTATATCAAAAATGGAGTGCGAGAAAGGTATAATTACTCAGAATAGCCTTCTCAAGACAGAAATAAAGAAAATGAGTGGGAATTGAGTTCTCGCATTCTACTTTTTGAGATTTTTTGTTTTGTCATCAACAAGATGGTTTTTGTATGAAATAACTAAAACGGTCACTATAAAGTAAAAAAATTTGCATTCAACTCATGAAATAGTTGAATAAATTTTTTTGGCCTCCATTCTGCCCTGAAAGTCGAGCTATGTTTCGGATGATCCATTTGTAATGATTCTATTAGTAAGAAAGAAAACTTATTGAAACTCAAATTTTATACAATACATGGAAATTATGCAAACATTTACAGATTATTAGACGTTGTTGATGATTTATTTCGTCACTATTTTAGAAAAATATCATCAAAATTCTATCAAAAACAAAGAAATTTATTTCTCAGACTAAAAAAGATTATTATAAAACAAAGTGTTTGTATTCATTTTTTGTTATGTATCAAATCACGATTTTTTTTTTCTTCTTTCCTCAAAGAGTGAAACTTGTGATTCTTTCATCGATTTCTTCCCAATTTCTCTCGTTTAAACAAACGGTAGTATGAAGCCAAAGATTTGTTATTTTAAAGAACGATTTGTTCATCGTTGATTTGCACGATTTTATTCTAATCGAGTTATTATTTTATTTTTGAGCTCTTTCTATTTCTTCTATAGAAATGGTGATAGGAGATTTTAAAATAAAATTTATCTTTTGTACTTTATTATTATTCCATTTTAAACAAATTTTAGTCTTAATCTATTACTCGACATTTGACAGAAAATCGAATTATTTGTTTTTCGATCTTTTTTTTAAGCCAAAGTTCGTCGTTTATATGATATAGCCAATGTTTTATCAACGATAAGTTTAATTACCAAAGTCATCGATCCATCATATCGTGGTCCTCGTCCAGCATTTCAATATATTGGACCAAGAACAGAAATAATTCATCATGCTGAAAGTAAAATGATAATTGTTATCTAATGATGGATAATAATTCTTTTTTCTTTAAGATGTTGTCGATTTTATCAATAGTGAGAATACAAAATCGAATAGTAAACATTCATTATTTGATCATTTTAAACGAAATTTATTTTTAAATTGTACAATACCACGATTTGATCCAAGAAATGGTTTGTTAGGATTAAAAGGAGCTTTAGATATAGCTGGAAGAGGAAATGGTGGAGCAACAGCAACTGGAACGTATTCAATGACATTAGGAGATAGTAATGAGACAGAAAACTTTCTTATCAATTATCAATGACAACATTTTTTTTTCCATTATTTTTATAGATAAACGTTCGCCCAGTGTATCTGACATGATGTTATCATCGTCTCAAAATTCTTCAAATAACGGACTTTATATACCAGAATCAAGTAACTATCGAACTATTTTTCATCTTTTATATTTTTCACAATATTTACTCATATTTTAGAAAAAAAACGGCATTCAAGACGTAAACAAAAAAGTACGGTTATTCCAATAGTTGAATGTGAGTTTTCTATAATTAACTCTTGTCAAGATAGAATTATCACGTTTCTCTCATATTTAGATGATAAGACGTCAACGAGTGTTCCTCAACCACCAAATTTAGCTTTGAATCCGGCCTATTTGAGTCATCTTCAATTTACACCGCATCACTATAACCCTTTCAGTACAAGTAATCAAACACAAGGTCAGACACTCGATATATACTTACTCCTTATCAAGAATAAAAACAAACAATTTCACCGACTTTTATATTTAGGCACTTCCACTCCTAATGGCACTATGTTTTTTTCCAATTACAATTCGCCAACTGATCCACAACAAATACTCTCTTATCATCATTTATTATCAACAACAGGTGAAACTGGACTTGATGCACAATCTGTTGATCCATCCACTTATTTTATACCATCACCTATAACAGATGACTCATGTCAACAACACCGTGATGAAACATATACATCGACAAATGGTAGCGATAAATATAATTTTAATGAAGATAGAGACTCCGAACAAATGACAATATCATCATTAGAAACAAAACAACGACGAAATGCCGGTATACGTCGTCATCAAACTCGTAATAAAAAATTCACAACATCAAAAATGAAAACAAAAACTGAGCAAAAGGATTTGATAGAATCACCATCAAATCTTATTCAACAATCAGAATCAAATTCACTCTTAGAATCGTGTCATTATATACAAGTGGTTCAACAACAACAACAAGATCAACAGTTATTTTCTCAACAACAATCGACTCAAGAAGAAAATGGTGATGAAACCACGGGTGCATCTGAACAAACACAATCATCAGTAGTGGTATGATTTTTGTTTCAAAACTCGGAC